GGAAGGAAGGAAAGAAAGAAAGAAAGAAAGAAAGAAAGAAAGAAAGAAAGAAAGAAAGAAAGAAAGAAAGAAAGAAAGAAAGAAAGAAAGAAAGAAAAAGAAGAAAAGAAAGAAGATCTGATTCTGGATCAGAGTCCAAGGTACAGTTTGGCATGACAGGCACTTATAGGAGGCAGGAGCTTGAAGCAGCTGGTCACTGCGTCTGCCATCAAGAAACAGACAGCAATGACTGCATGCATGCCAGTGGTCAGCTTACATTCTCCACTTTATACCATCCAGAATGCCAGCACTAGAAATGGGTGTGACTCACAGGGCAGATCTTCCCACCTCAACATAGTCAAGACAATCCTGCAAATATGTCCAGAGGTCCACTTCCTAAGTAATTCTAGATCCCTTCAAATTGAGAGTTAGCACTGCCCATCCCAGATGCCATATTGCTTTATACTGAGTATCAATCAATTCCTTGGTCAGAGCTGCCCAGGAAGTTGAGGGCACAAGACTTTGGTCTCCTAACTCCAAGAACAGGATTCTCTAGTCTTAAATTTTCATGGTGCAACTTTCTGCTTGTGTCCTTTTTTTAAAAAAAAAAAAAAACAGGAAAAAATTAAGTGCAAGAAGCACTTCTAAAAATGACACACCCCTTCTCTATGTAGGAGGTTCTCAGCTTCATCTTTTATTTCTAGATGCAAGGCCTGCAGTGTACTAAGAGAACTAGCCCAGGTTTTAGTCTTCTGTAGAACTGAAAGGGCCTCAAAGTGTCCCCACAGCAACTCTACACTGTTGCATGTCCTAAAGCTAGACATAAACTAACTTCCAGATGATAATGTGGATACCACTATGGCATCTAAAGTACTGATGCCTCGGAAAGAGATTCAGCAAGCCATGAACAGATGAACAGATGGGGCCACACATCAGTGCCAGGCAGAAGTACTCATCTGGCCATTCGAGACTGCTTTAAAAACATTGACCTGGAAAATGAGATTCAAAATACATTTAAACGTCTTTACAGGTTAATCTTCTGGTATCCAGATTAGAAACCAAACCAGAAGCCCAGCAGTGGTTTTTGTTTGTTGCAACTGACAGCCAGAGAGGACTTGCATGGGCCATCTGGTCCAGCCCTCGTGAGAAATCTGCCCTGTTTTTCCAATTTGCTCCATGCAGCAACTACTTATAAGGTCTTTGAAGAAATATTGTGTAATCTCTTTTCACAGCAGGGATGGAAGATTTGACTTGTCATCTTAAGAACTAGCATCATGGGTTGGCAAGGCAGCTTAGCGAGAGGTGGGGTGTGTGTGTGTGTGTCGGGAGAGAGGAAGTACATGGTGTTTGCTCTCAAGGCTAACAACCTGAGTTTGATCACTAGGATCCACCTAAAGGTAGAAGGAAGAGCCAATGTCACAGAGCTGTCCTCTGACCTCCACTTGCACGCTGTGGCAGGCATGTCCCCCACATCATGCACACACAATTTTAGTGAGTTAAAATAAAAATTCTTTAAAGGAATCAGATTCATATACTATGCTTTGAAGTCTTCAAAGAAAGCCATAAGGTGAGTGTTTGAGAACTCTTGTCTCTTGTCTGGACCCTACAGTCAGGTCAGGGAGAAAAACAAAGACAAAAGGCTGAGGGGTAAGAAAACAAGGGAGGCTCACAGAGGTGCACAGAGGATTAACCTCCTGTAGACAACGGGGAAGAGGGACTTTTCCATCTTGGTCCTTGCACCTGCTCAGGTGTCCTGAGTGTTCCACTATTGGACCATCCAGGAGCCGGTATACTTCATGGTTACACAACAGCCCTGCTGACAATGTACTCAGCTCTTTAATGCCGCATTGGAATCTTCTCTGTCTGTTCTCCACTGAAGGGAAAATGAGCTGGTTTTTTATGTATTTTTTTAAATATATTATTAATTTCCCATGTGTATGTGCAGTGTTTTGCCTGTATGTATGTCTGTGCACCAGGTCCACACCTTGTGCTTGGGGAGGCCAGACAATGGTTTTAGATCCTTTGGGTTTGGAGTTAAAGGAGATAGTGAGCCATGCGGGTGCTGGGAAAACAGCCCAGGTCCTATGGAGGTGTCAGTGCCCTTGACTACCAAGCCATCTCTCCAGCCCCCTTAATGCACTCTTATCATTTATCATTTCAGTCTGGCAGACTTACATCTAAAGGTAAGTGTGTATTCCAGTATTAATCAGCAAGGAAAGTTTTCTCTTTTGGTAATTAAGAGAAAACTCCCAGGAGCATGCTTCAGACCCATACAGTTTCTCAGGGCTTCTGTAGAAGAAAAAACTCCCGTGGAGCATGTGCTATGAGTAACCAACTCTCCGTTTCTTTGCAATTAATTTCTATTTTAAAATAGCTTTGCATGCTGACTTTTGTTCTAGTATCTGTGGGCTGAGGCCACAGCAAGTTCATTATAAAAGTCAACTGCAGAAATAATGTGGTTTTAAGGAATGCTGCTTCTCCCTCAGCTCAAGATCCAGCACAGTGTTCCTCTGGGGCAATTAATGTGGTTTCAACTCACTGATACCAGTTGTTTTTTTTTTTTTTTTACCTCTATCTGCACAAGCATCTCTTTATTCTCAAGTCTATATACTTAAAAATGTGAAATTATCAGGAAAATCTTACTATTCTTGTTCTAGAAGGTTTTCATTTATGCAAAACTATTTGTCCAGTTCCAAAGAAGAGAAAGGGCACCACTGTGTTATCGAGAAAGCCAGATGCAAAGTTGGGAAATGTATGGGCTAAACTCTACAAGACAGCCAATCAAAGCATTTCACTTCATTTCGATTTCCCACAATTACAATTTCTCCAAAGGCAATTGTCTGGAAATCAGGAGGTCAGCCCTTCGTAAACACTCGGAAATGCCTTAATTAGAGAAGCAAGTGCTCGTTCAGCCTGAAGTTTTTGTTTTGTTGTTGTTTTATTTTGTTTTATGAGGCATTTCCTGAATGTTTCAGCAGAAATTTCGCCAATCCTATTCCAGAATGAAGGGCAAGTTAAACGGGAGCATAATAACAGCCGCTATGAAGCTATGCAGAAGGTTCATACTTTCTTAGTATTGCCCTAACAGGTCACCATCCGCCAGTGACTTAACTATATCTTTTTTGAAGAGATATCACAAGTATGAAAGCAGAGTAGCAGTGGAGTCAGTTCCTTCTGCAGACTTCAGGGTATAAACCTCAGGGTCACCTGCATTCCTGAGCTCAATGCTACTATGAAGACGTGTTCCTTGCCTTGTAAGTTCAGAGTGCGCACTGACCACACATTCACCCTTCTTCCCAAGTGTGTGGATATTTCAAGGAGTGTGTCAGCAGCTGCCCTGTCCAGCTCCAAATCCCCTTCTTCCTGCAGCTGCTCTTTGCCATTTATCAGAAATGACCAGAAACCCGGCCCAGCAAAACTAGCCCTGAAACCTCATTCACCCCACAAATATTTCTTTCCCTCCCTGCCTCTTGTCTCTTTAACCCCTCACCCATCCAACATTCTACCCTGGATCTTTTGGATTCACTTTTCCCTTTCTTAGGAAATTACACTTCCACAACACCAGTGACACACATAGAAATGAAATTTGATGGAAAAATATAAGCAAGTCTGATTAGCCGTATACATGGTGAAAAAGGGTCTGTGCCTTAGTTTGCTGACCTGTTTGCTTAATTCAGTGATGGACTTTGCAGAAAAAAAACAAGTGGTTACGAAGTCCCACAGCCTCCACCCTCTGTTTATTGGCTGCTATAACAAGCTGAATAATGACCCCCAAAGACGCCCAAGTCCTAACCCCAGCTCTTTGAATGAACGGCTCACAGGACTTCACCACTAGGATAAAATTCACAATCTTGATGTGGAGAGATTATCCTGGATTATCTGGGTACATCTTAATGTAACCACAAACATCCCTACAACAGAGAAGTGGAAGGCGATCCTGACAAAGCAATGCATTGGCAGCGGAGAGATGTTCTTCCTAACTGGGTCTGAAGGGGGAGGAAAGGCTGCATGCTACAGAACGCAGCAATACAAATGAAAAGGCCAGGAGATGATTCTCTGCTCACTCCTGCTTAGCAGGGGAGTGCCTTCTTTTCCCTTCAGGGCCTATGCCAGCCAGCCTTGTCCATGACAGAGGAGTCTCTGTCAGCAGATCTGTGAACACGTGGTCTGGGGGTAGGACACACTCAATGACTCTGTTTGCCTGGAAAGCAGAGAGAATGTGCTTTAGTGACCAGAGCAATAGTTGTAATTGAACCCTGCTCTCTGGAGGGCATTGTGATTTCAGCTGGAAGCACCACCTTCCAACGCATTCTTGCTTTCCCATCTGATTAGAAGCATTCTCTCTCTGTCTCTCTCTCTCTCTGTCTCTCTCTCTCTCTCTCTCTCTCTCTCTCTCTCTCTCTCTCTCTCTCTCTCTCTCTCTCTCGGCTCTGGTCACTCATCAGCCAGTGACACTACTAGCTGCCTGGTATATAACTGTCTTATGTGCTGGCTCAGAAGTGACCTTCTGGAGGGCAAGGATCCATCTTATTCTTTCTTTTGATCAATAATCACTGAGCACCTGCCACATGATGGGCACTTAGGAGAAGAGCTGGAAGTGGGAAGAAAAAATAAAAATATAAGTCAATTTATATAATATGTCCTACATAAAAGTGTAATGGGAAGTTGACGTGTACTACGTCTAATTGTAAAGCATGTGGGTGTTTACAGTTAACCTCATCTGAAACTCCCAATATCCCTCTGAAGTAGATGCTATGGTCTCCATTTTACGAGTAAACTGAGGCTCAGAAAGGAAACTCATCCAAAGTTACCCAACCTGCCTAACATTGTGGGCCAGCCCCTTAACCATACTTCACTGTCACCATAGGCTTGCCAAACTAGCAGCCAGTACTAGCAGGGGCACCAAGTGCCACTGGCCCAGGTGTTTCTGAGATGGGCTCTTGCATGTCAAGCACCAAATATCTGTTGTCTGATTAAAAACTGGGTATAAATAAGTCTATGAGACAAGCACATAGTTGATTCCAAGTAAAAGTTCAAGGAATTAATTTCTCTTCATTGCTTCATAGCTACATTTTGGGTGGGATCTCCCAACCATCTAGAATCCTGTGAGCACAAGCAAGAAGGTAGCACATGCTTGTGGAAAATTGAGTCACTACAGAATTCAGTTATATGAAATATTTCTAACTTCAGACACTGAGTCATAACTATGAGCAGAAAAGGATGAAGTCTTGATCTGTGGTACATGGACGTGCCTGTTTTTTCCCTTCTGGGGTTATGGCAGTAAGTAAGTAACTTGTTTGTTTGTAAACTGCAAAAACTCTGGGTTTGGTGTCCCAGGTTTCAGCACCAAAATGTTAGTAAATTGATGGCTGACACTGCAAGGAGACAGTTCAGCCCTAGAGGGCAAGGTATCCCAGACACCTTGAGCTACTTAGAACAAGAGCTCTGCCCTGAAGGTGTCCCAGACATCTGAAGCTGTTTAGCACAGCTCTGATGGCTGGGACCGCAAAGAAACAGCCCCAACCTTGGAAAGGAAATTTTTCTGACTTCTCAGGAGAGTCAGGCCTGAAACTGCTTCAGCAAGGAAGGGTATCCTGACTCCTCGGGAAGGTCAGGGTATCCTGACTCTTTGGGAAAGTCAGGATATACCTGGTGTGATGGGGGATGGTCTCCCAGCAGGACACAGCAATCCTGCTCCTCTCCGGGAGAGCCATAATCTCTGGCTCAGTGTTACCAGCTCACCCTTGCTCAGTCTACTATGGGACACCTTAGCAAGGTTCTTCTGTTCAGCTCCCCCTTGCTCAGTCCACTATGGGGCATCCCAGCAAGGTTCTTCTGTGCACCAGTGAATGAAGGTCTTCATCCAAAACTCTTTGAGAAAGAGGTTTATTTGGGAAGGTGGAGTCCAGGAGAGTAGCTGCCTCTACCAGGGTGGAGAGAACAGCTCTCAACTGATGGGGCAGGGTGGTTTATATAGGATGTCTAGGGGGTGGAGTCAAATATGTTTGGTTAGTTTATTTTCTGCCCAGGGATTGGCCAGTTTTGTGGGCAAGGGGCAGAGATGGCCCTAATTTCAGGGCCAAACTGTGTTTCTTTCATTGGCCTTTCTTAGCTTTTTGACACTACCTCTAAGGCCAGGGCACATTTCATTCTCTGACTCTGACTCTAGGGGCCAAGAGTGTTTCTTTGGTACTGGTTTCAGAGTCAAGGCATGTTTCCTTGGTTCATTTCTCTGACTCAGGTCCCAAACACAGGCTGTGTTTCTTTCCCTGGTCCTGGGCCCTAGGGCCAGGATTCTGCTGTCCTGCTCTGTGATTGGTTGATTTC